CCCGCCAGGCTCCTCTGTCCATGGCATTCTCCAGGCAACACTACTGGAGTGGGTTACCATGCCCTCCTCCAGAGAATCTTCCTGACCCAGGGGTCGAACCTGCATTTCCCGAGTCTCCTGAATTGCAGGCAGATTTTGTACCCCTTGAGCCACCTGGGAAGCCCCTACATTGCTGGTGGGAATGTAAAATGATGAAGTCACTGTAGAAAACCATTTGGTTGTTCCTCAAAAGTTTATCAGAGAATTCCCATATGATTCAGCAATTTCACTCTTGAGTATAAACCCAAAAGAAAACAGGACTCAGATACTTGTTTGCAAATACTCATCATAGCATTATTCATAGTTGTGAAAAGATAGGAGCAACCCAAGTGCCCATCAACTGATGAACAGATAACAAAATGTGGTGTACACACACAATGGAATATTATTCAGCCACAAAGAGGAATGAATTCTGACACATGCTAGAACATAATGTGAAATAAGCCCGACACAAAAAGTTGAAATAACTATATGATTCTACTTACATGAAATACCTAGAATAAGCAATTTCAGACAGAAAGTAGATCAGAGGTTACCAGGGTAGAGGGGTTGGAGAGATGATATCTGAGAAGTACAGGGTAACTTCTTGGGCAAAAACAAGTTCTAAAGGCTTCCCTGGTGGTCCAGTGGTTAAGAATCCACCTCCAATGCAGGGGACATGGATTTGATCCCTGCTCTGGGAAGACCCCACATGTTGTGGGGCAACTAGGCCTGTATGTCATCATTACTGAAGCCATATCTGAGTCCTTTCTGTTCGTACATGCTGCTGCTAAGTTGCTTTAGTCGCGTCTGACTCTGTGCGACCACACGGACAGCAGCCTACCAGGCTCCTCCATCCACGGAATTCTCTGGGCAAGAATACTGGAGTGGGTTGCCATTGCCTTCTCCATTCTTACATGAAATAACACAAATACATTTTTTACATGAAGAATATCGTACTTTCAACAAAAATATATATATTTACATATGCAAAGAGATTATAAGGAATTGGTTCATGAGATTATGGAGGCTGGCAAGTCCAAAAACCTGCAAAGCCAATATCCCAGTTCAAGTCCAAAGGCCAGAAGATACTGTAGAACCAGGAAAAGCCAATGGCCTGGTTCAAAGGTCATCAGGCAGGAAGGTCCATGGTTCTACTGATTGCATGAGGCCCACCCACATTATGGAGGCAATCTGTTTTATTCAGTCTACTAACTGAATTCTTAATCTCACCCAAAAACACCCTCACACAAATACCCTGAATGTTTGACAAAACTTATGGGTACGCTGTGATCCAGTCAAGTTGACACATAAACTATCACATATGGGGAAACTAAGTAAAATCACAGCCTTGAATATTAATAAGATTAACCGATAGGTAGCAAGGCATAGTATAAACAAGCATATTAGTTTTGTTGGAGACCCTCAGGCAAATTATTTCACCTCAGCCTGTTTTCTATTCTATGCTGCTTAGTAGCTTCAGTCGTGTCCAACTCTGTGTGACCCCATAGATGGCAGCCCACCAGGCTCCCCCGTCCCTGGGATTCTCCAGGCAAGAACACTGGAGTGGGTTGCCATTTCCTCCTCCAATGCATGAAAGTGAAAAGTGAAAGTGAAGTTGCTCAGTCGTGTCCAAATCTCAGCAACCCCATGGACTGCAGTCCACCAGGCTCCATCCATGGGATTTTCCAGGCAAAAGTACTGGAGTGGGATGCCATTGCCTTCTATTCTATAGATAGGAATAATATCACTTTCCTCAAAGAGCTAATATGGTTACATGAAATAATGTTTATAAACCTAACATTGTTTGGCATATATTTCATGCTCAGAATTTTTGAAACTTAACACAGTATTTTAACACTAAAAATTCCATTTTACTGACGTCATCCTCTTGAGGCTCTTAAAAGTTTACACCAGTCAGAACATTAAGTTGTCCTCTGAGGTTTATGTAGATTTAGCAATGAACTACTAAGTTTAAAAATTTTTTGTCTTTAAGAAAATGTTTATGTTTTGACCTCCTTCCCCATCTCTCCCATGAAGCAGAGCAAAAAGAAATATAAAAAGGGATGAATTTTTTTTTAAGTCACTCTTGAAAAGAAGATGAACTTCTCCGTGGACCACACATGGCAATAGAACCTGTGAGCAAAGCTGAGCTGTGGGCCTGTGGACTCCAAACTATAGCAGCTATGAGTTTTGCAAGAGGAATTAAGTGTTTTCAGAAGGCTCACTGCCTGAAATTGGGGGTTAACCCAAGCAAATGGCAATTAAATAAAATTAGAAATCAATTAACATGATTTTTCTACCTTAGAAAAACATATGTTGGGGGGTGGGGCAGGCAGGGAGAGGAACTCACACACACAAAGACCAAAGTAGTACAGATCACATTTATGATACAGCTAAAATAGGGGAAGTTACAGAGAATCTTAGCATGAGATGAAGCAAACAGATCAAAAGAATGAATGCAGAGCTCAGACCAAGTCATTTATATGGTAACTGAATGACATATAGCATCTGAAACATGGTATTTGGAGGAACAGCTATACACATACAAAAATAAATAAAACAAAACCCAAGAGTTAAACAACAAACAAAAAGAAATTCAGGTGGATTAAACATCCAAACACTAAAAACACTAAAAAACTTTTTTTTAACTTTTGGAAAGATGTACAGGAGAATATCTTTATGACATTTGCCAGACAAGACTCAGAAAACACTATTATGAAAGACTGGGGAGATTACATTAAAATTAAAAATGTTTATTAAGAAGACTCTATAATCAAAGATACACCACAGACTTCAAGACAGTTGAAACATACGTAACAGAGCATTATGTAGTATCGAAAATATGTAATAGATATAAATCCATAAGGAAAAGACAAAACATAACAGAAAAATGGTCAAAAGGTATCGCCTGCAAAATCACACCACATTTCCTCAATGTCCTGTACTTACATGAGGCAGCACACTATTCAGTGTGGGGGACTATCTATAAGAAATGAATATCAGAAGACGACCACTGGGGCCCTCTAGAGGCTGGTTACTACACACACAAAATAGTATTTTTTTTATTTGACACACAGTCAATAATATTAGTTTCAAGACAGTACTTTGTAGTATTTTGATAACACATATGTGTATCAAAAACATAAAAACACAAACTAGAATATGCAGTCCCTCTAGGACAGAGGTTATCTCTGGGGAGAAAGGGATGGAATCAAAAGGTAATAAAATAAGTTTCAAATGCATCTAACACTTACATATTAATATGTTCACAGATCTAAAGAAAACATAACCAAATGCTAAAATTTATTAAATCTGCATGGTGGAAACATATGGGTGTTCTTTAAGTGATTCGCCTTCCCTCTTAGGTTTGAAATATTTCAATAAAGTTTTATTTATTTATTTATTTATTTATTTAGTTTTCCGCCTGAGATGTATTTTTTTAATTTACTTTTTTCCATTTATTTTTATTTGTTGGAGGCTAATTACTTTAAAATATTGTAGTGGTTTTTGCCATACATTGACATGAATCAGCCATGGATTTACATGTGTTCCTCATCCCATCAATAAAGTTTTAAAATAATGAACCTGAAGAAATGAAAAGAACACTTGCTTTAAACAAGCTTATTTTTATAGATTTTAAAAATTGCAACTTTCACAACACGTTAAGAAAAATATTTTTCTTATATCAAACTAAGCATCTCTTTGGTATAGCAACACACCACAAGTGTTATCTTTAACATAAAAAATTAATCAAGAACTGTGACTTAATATGTTAAATAAAACTACCCTTTGCCCATCCATGTGTCCCCTTTCACAGGCCCACTGTGGGGCTTGGAAGTGTAGTTCTGTGCATACCTCCACAGCTACAAAGAATTAAGATGCTGCATCAGATACATCCAGAAGTCACACAACAGAGAATTAGTTGGCTTAATCACCAACATATATGACACAAACTCACCAAGAGAGAGAGAGCACATGTGCACAACATAAGATATGAGACAAGTAAAACAGCATTGTCATGAAGATCAAATAATATGAAAATAATTATATCATTTAAATTTAATGCATTTTTTTAAAGTACTTGTTTAGAATTATTACATTCAGAATTTAAAATTATTACCTGCCAAGCTCCAAAAGTAATAATACAGAGCCATAATTTTGATAAGGCACTTTAAAGAGAACAATTAAACATACAAAACAGTGAATATGAGAAATATCCATAAAAGCAGTTAACCTCAGAAACAGAAAAAAAATATGTATTTTTTCAAGATAGGCTTCAGTAAGTTGTTTTGAAAAGCATCACAGAAGGGTGAAAAATATTTATCATATATTTTTAAAAGTTGTTACCAAAGTTCAAATTCCTGTTTAAAAAAAAAAAGATAACATTTTCCTTAGTCAGTGAGGTTCTGCCTCAAATACTTTTTCAAGAAACAATTAACATCTTTATGCTAAAATCAAGAAGGAAAAGCAGCTTTCAATCATGCTGTCAACTCTTATTTAACAAACATCTAATGACTGTTGTGTAACAGTGTTTTAGGTTGCTGGAAATATGTAAGTAACTAAGACACAATCATTGGTTCTAGGGAACTTAGCCCAGTAGAGCTAAATCTAACAATGATAACATGAAAGTTTACCTTCTTTGGCTCATAAATAAAGCTCAATTTCAAATTCTGCTATTCTTGGAATTTTCTTGCAAGTAGAAGAGCCTAATGGTCCACCTAGTTTGCTCCTAGTAACACTGTGGCATTATTATCTACGGATTAACTTTCATAAAAGATTCTTTGAAAGTTCAGAGGACAGAAAGTGTTTAAAGATAAATATGAATCAGCCTCAAAAATAACATCAGCATTCTGTTTTCACAAAATGAAGAAAACCAAGAAAAATTTCATCTTCAGTATCCAGAACCGTGCAATTAATCCAGTCCCTATGGTACATATGCAAACATCCTAGGTAAGGAGGTATGCATTATTACAGTCAAATTAGTTGTCAGGCTTCAAGGAATCATAGCCTTCTTTCAAGAGGTCCCGCCATGTTTTAAGGAAACGTGCATTTTCTGTACATTTGAAGGCAAGTTCTTCCACTTGAGCTGATACTGCAGATGTGGCTTCCAGAAGTTTGGTTAATGAAAATGCTGCCTGAAAGTTAAAAAGAAAAGAAAAGTCAAACAATATAAGTTTATTTTTTAAATTCTCTCCCTATTTTATGAACCTGGCTGAAAACAGCTTAGAATCCAATGCCCAAGTTCTTTTCTTTAAAAGTTAAAAATCTTCAAACTAAGACACGCCAGCTTTTCAGTGGAACCTAAAAAAATTTTCTACACTAAGTAAGCTTTGAGGACATATGTCTACTAGAAAGATACACATTATGTATGAGACATGACGAGCCAGCATCTTTTTCGGGTGCTAATACACCAGTCTCATATAGCTCAACAAGACGACTTGGGCCCGTTAACACCAAGTACCAGAAGTATTTGAAGGACTTATGATACAGCTCTGACTGATGGGAGGAAGGGACTTGCTCCGCTATTTTTATCTGTTTAACCCTGCAGTCCATGAAATCGTACAAACCAAAGAACAGACACTCTAAGCTCACAATTAACGCCAACAAAAACAACACCCATGCAGAAAACACAGCACTCTTGGTGGAAAACTCACTTCTTGATCAAATGCTTTCTTCACCCACTGTATAAAATAACACTGTTCCTGGGTAACAAACACATCAGCACTGCATTCTACACGCTCACTTGGAACCAGCCTGGTTCAGCAAAGATGAAGCTGTGTCAGCATTTCAGCCATCTTTTTAAAACAACAAATACTTGCTGAGGAATAAGAGAATAACAGAGTTCACCCCGCGGTTTGCAATCTGCACAGGAGGATCTCCCGGTTAAGACATCACCCTACAGACTTCATTCACTTGACATTAAATCGAGAAACCCGACTGTGTGTGATGGGTGGCTGGGTGTGTGTGAGTGTACGCGCGCGTCTACAAACTGGAGACTGAACAGGAGCCGGGCAGACCAGGAATCCCGGCCATCAGAGGGACGGGTCTTTGTACAGTTAGGGGAAGCAATCTGGACCACGGGGCGGGGACTAACCCATCCTAACTGGGTCCGCCCAGACGGATAATCGCCTAGCCAGCAGGCTCTGGGCAGGCGGCCAACTAAACAGGACTAGGTGGAGGGAGACGGCTCAAATCCCAACAGAAGAATCCCTGTCTGGCCCCCAGCCCCGCGGACTACGCAGGGTGGTGGGTTTGTGAACTGCGCCGTTTCGGGTTACAGCGCGAGAGCGGAACCAGACCTCCAAGCACAAAGACCCGGCGCGGGCGCGGCGGGAGAGGGATGCCCTGGACTCCCGACGCGGCTCTTGAATACGTGAGGGACACGGCCCGGACCCGCCGGCCGCACTCACGTCTCCGATCTGCAGCTCCACCTCTTCCAGCGGGTCCACCAGTCGGCCGCTGCTCCTGCTCGGAACCGGCCAGCCCAACCCCCCCGGGGCGCCGGGGGAAGATGCTGAAGACGTGTCTGAAGACGAAGGAGAAGAAGGGGGCGGCGGCGGCGGGGAAACCTGCAGCCCTTCTGGGTTCGCCATGGAGCGGGCTGGGCGACTGGACCGGACTTGGGAGGCCGAACCAACACCAACCGCCTCTTTTAACCGCTCGCGCCCAAAGCCCAGCGGGCCCGCCTCCTCTCCGCTCTCCGCCAGGGACCGCGAAGCCTTGTCACTTTCTAGGGACAGCCAATCAGATGCCAATGAGTTAGCCTGCGGCTGCTCTCCGCTCCACGGGAAAACCTCCTAACGGGCTCCCAGACGTCGGAGCAGAAGACCACAGCTCCCAAGGTGCCGTGCGCGCCGCTCCGCCTCACCGTCTTGGGGCTCTGCGCGCGATTCACCCTGGGATTTGTGGTTTCCCTCCCCCCCCCCGCCCGCCCTCCACAACCATTCCGGCGCCCTCAGCGCACGCCGGGTGAGAGGCCGCGCAGCCTGCAGCCGCGGGCGGCGCTGGGACTTGGAGTCCCTTCCCTTGCCCCTTCGGCTCGTGCCCCGGAAGCGCTGCTGGAGTCGCGTCGCGTCGCGCGCGTCACTCGTGGCGCCCGCGCACAGCAAGACAGGCGGGAGCGTGGTGAAACTGGAGCGTTCCGCGGAGCCGGCAGGTGGTGACTGCTTGCGTCCCGGCCGGCGATGGCGCCCCCAGTGGCTTAGAGGTCCCGCGCCCATACGAGCCAAGCCCAATCTCCTTCCCCGGCGTGCGCCAGCGTCCTTTCTGCTGTGAACATGCAGGTGCAGCTGGCCAGATTGGCCTGCCCGGGTGAGCGGGGTCTGCGGGGGCGGGTTGACAGAGCAAGGACGTGGGGCAGTCCGGTCTCGCCTCACTAGGGAGGAACTCGGGCAAGGGCGCGCGGTCAGCTCCAGGTGGATCCTGGGTTCCTCCCCGGGCATGTCCCTATTGAAAAAGTTGACAACTAGGGCAGAGGTCACGGGCGGAGGAAACTTGTCAACGCGGCTCCGGAGCGGAATTTTCCCCGAACCCTGGTGCTGACCCTCTTCCCAAAGCCCAGATGTTGTCCTAGACTTGCAACAGCCTTGTTGGAAAATAGGTAAATTAACTATTACACAGGTTTTCTCCTTGGTCCTCGCCTGACGCGTCTTGCAGCCGTCCTACTCCTTAAGAATTTGAACTCTGTTCTGTCACATTGACTTTTATATGGTACCCAAGTCATCAGGTTATCTCTGGAGCCGGGAATTTTTCTGTGTTGTCTAAAATTAACTCTACAGCGTATCGTGTTATGGTTGCCCCTAGAACCATCATGATGATTTGGTATAATACCTCATTACCTCCCCTTTCACCTTAAAAAAAAAAATAGAATGATGTCGTTGGACGGTTTTTGTTTGTTTTACTTAAAAACAGTTTTAAAAATCAAAACAAAAAGTTTACTCCAAGATATCTCTCAAAACTGACTTAATTTTTTTTCTGTAGTTTATTTAAATTAAATTTTGGTTCTAGAATAAACAGGTGTACATATTGCAGATTCACGGATATTCTTATGTAAATTTCACAAAAGTAGAATTTTGTCAAATTTGTCTACCATGTATTAAATAATTGGAATTTAAAGTTTCTATTACTGGTGTGTGTTTTACGACACCTTTGTGTAAATACTGTTGACTGAAAAAAAATGCACAGCCTAAAAGGTTGAGGATTATGTTTTACTCAACAGGCACAGGAAACACTTAGCCCAGGAGACAGCCTCTTAAGATAGCTCTGAGGGACAGTTCTGAAGAGGTAAGGTAGAAGCCAGTATATATACGAGATTTTGCAAAAACAAACAGGCTGAAACACACAAAATAGGTAGTTGGAGCATCAAAAGATTACTGCTAATTAAAAAAATGTATCTCAAGTTAATGAATTTAGTGCTTTTTTGTGTATGGGAAGATGTAAGAGTTTGGGCTCATTGAAATCATCCCTTTGATATGCATCTCCACTACCTAGGCCCAGGGTCCTGCTTTTCTCCATCCTGAATCCCTTCAGAGTACACAGTCAGGGATGGCTGCAGTAGCTGAGAGCCTGATGGCCACAACATCCTTTGTTTACTGATACAGCAGGTGATATTCTTCGTCCACAGTGCCTCCTCTAACTCATAAATTTGACCAACATTTGGGAGTCATTTCATGACCAGTTTTTGTCCCTTGGTGTTAGGAAGGTTCATTCCTAGATCAGGCAAAGATTCTGTTGATAGGCCACCCAATGTGTTATTTTTGGATGAGGCCCTGTTGATAATCTGAAATTCTCTGGAGTGCCTGTCTCACTAGTTTATGATGATCCAGGAGATGTTTTCCCTTGTCATTTCTTCCCATATCTGAAGTTGCACTGTTACAATTATTCTGTATAGAGTTAATCTATATGTAAATTGTCTTAAGACATTAATTTTGTTGGAAGCCTGGTTAAACACTGGATGATGCCAAAGGAAATCTTATGAAATAGAAAGGATATAAGTAATTCAGCTAATTACATTAATAAGGTCATAGTGCAGCAGAGAGAGGGACAAGTCATAAGTAATTTGAATAAAACAAGAGAGCAAATTAAAACAATGATCAGTATAACTAGTTGTAGTCTGGTTGAAATAAGCCCTCCAATCCACAGGAGAACCAGCTGAACAAGCCAAATTTTGGAGGGATCACGTAGAGAGAAAGATAATGTTTCATCTTCATTTACAAAGGTATACTTTATCAACTTGTAGGTAAGTGTTAGAGGAAAGGTTTTTCAGTTCAATGATATGATCTGAAACTTATCAGGAATTTTTATTTGCCAAAAAGTCATTTTTATAAATCTTGAAGATCTTCATTTTACAAAAGCATCAGAGTGAAGCAATGATTGTCTATAAATGACAAAATACTTCAAATGACATGGTTAAAGATCTGATTACAATGCAATTGACAAGAAACTTGGATATTTCTGTGACAAACAGCATTTTAAGATAATAACTATAAGTATGATTGATAGCATTATATTGATAACAGGACATACCAGACTTCTGGGAGTTCTTTATAAATTTTAGAATATCTGTATTAATGACATCTAACCTTAGATGGCTTTACCACCACTTATGTGACAATGTTTCCCATCTATATTAACATAAATAAACCTAATTAGTTTAAAATCTCTCTTTGTGATATCAGGGTTCCTTTGGAGTATCCCAGAGTTAGTTGAAGGTCAAAAGGACTTTAGTTAGAATTTGCTATTTGGGAAGTTTGTCAAAAATATCAAAAAGGTTTCAAAACACTGGTCAAGTAGGATCATAGGTCATTGTGAAACAACACTTATTCACTTAACCAAAGTGACAAAATATTTCAAAAGCAAAAACAGATCATTTAGAGGCATAGAAACTCAATCTGTTATCAAAAGCAGGGAAAATTTTGTTCTCTTTTAACAGAGAGAGGAACCAAGACCAGTCCTACTCCAGCCTGCTTTTAATTACAAAATCCATTTATGTTATTAAATTTAATCTAATCCTAGCCTGACCATTTCCAAAACTCATTTTTCAGGGCTCCTTTTCTATAGACCTTCCACAACTTTCTCTGTTCTTATTAGTTTGTTCCTTAATTTTTTTATCCAGAAATAACTGACTCTAGGACAAAATCACCCTTACATTTCCAACAGGTTCATTTCTATTCTTCAATCTTTTGCTGAAAACATACATCCTACTTTCCTTATACAGTGAACTACTTCCCTTGATAGTTTTAGTAGCTTTGATTACATGTTATAGTTTTAACCCTTAAAAACTGTAATCTTTAGCAGAAACCTAAAAGGAACAAGTGATTGTGAACTGTTTGTGAAACCAGAATTTCCCATTTGGGATATTCTATAACTTCTAGAAACATATATTTTCTCATAACATAATTTCTTTCTTCTATGTGATACAAGATGTGTCCAATAAAGCCAAAGATCTTTCGTTTCCCTCTTGTGAGGAAACAAAAGTAGGTAAATTTAGACCTGTTTAGCAATTAATGTTCCACTATTTTATCTTATTTGAAATGACCTGGATATTCAAGGAATTCCCATCATTTAACTTATCAAAATTCAAATTACCAAAAATCTGAACAGACTATTTTAAGATAAACATACCCAAAAGAATTCCTAAAGAGTTCACCTGAAAATTCTTATCTCATTTACCTTTATTTGGTAACTTAAAGTCATATCAAGTTAAATTTTTTTTTCACATTGACAAACTCTGTAACAGAAATGACCATGTGAGCCCCAAATTCACTCCAAGTTTCTTTTATATTTAGAAATATTTAGTTTGTAAGTACTTACTTTAAGTCAATTAAATAGAGCTCTTTTATAAGTTTAATTTTGTTCATATTTTCCAGAGTTAGAGATATCTCATATGTGACGTACACCAAGACACATAAACAGACAAAACTAGAGATCGCATAGCTTCACTCTAAAAGCTTCATTATGAATCAGGTATTACCATATAAACTCACAAGTTTATAAGTAACAGTTGGAATAAGATAAATTTGTTTACTCAGATTACTACTTCACTATTTGTAGAAAAGTCTTCAGATTTATATTTGTCCTTGATAAACCCTTAAGGAGACTAAGAATTAGATTTTGGGTAAGGGAACCTTTCCAACAGTTCGAGTTTTAAAAGGTCTTTTTCCCATTTCCCCTACTCCATTGCAGGTTTTATTTGATTGAGGTAATTAGGCTCAGTCTCAGTTCTTTGGGAGCTGTATTTACATTTCTGATCTGTAGAGACTTGCAAGATACAGTAGCTCCTGATATTAAAAGGTTGATTTGCCCAACTATACTTACTTTGATTTGCTTTTGTATCAGAGATTTCCAGCTAAACTGAAAATCACAAAAGACTCCTGGGTTATAGAGCTTTAGGATTTAATTTGTCCTTTCTTCAAAAACTTGCATGAGGCATTGACAAAGCCCCCCTTTTGAGAACACAGGTTAGACCCAGAGCAAAATGTCTATTATTATTTTTTTAGCCCCTGAATATTAGTTCCCAGTTTTTACTTTATATTGTCTTGGCTCAGGTAACCATATTGGTTTCCTTTCATATGTTTAAATAATATTTTCTGAGGGCCAGATTCAAATACCCTGCCTTATAATACAAAACAGAGGAAGCCCAGTGAAACATATCTATCCCACAATATAATTCAGCAGAATAGATGTAAACATCTTATATAAAGCCTATTTAAATGTACCTGTTTTTATAAACTTTCATCCCAATTCTGTCAACTTTTATACCTTTAACTTTGGTTCCCATTAGAACCAGTCAACAAGCTTTGGTCTTAAAAGGAGTCCTAGAAGCTTTCGTTTCTTACATTCTCCAACCATTTTATCTATTTTGTATAAAAGCCAAGGGACACAAGCCCTCTTGTCAGTCTTGTAACTTGACTAATAGGTCTAACTGTTGCCCCAACTAATTGTTGGTCAGATAGCTAATTATAATTTTTTTCCCAGCCTTTTAAGGATATATATTTTTTAAACTGGGTAAATAGAGCAGACTTGTTTGGGGCTCATTAATACTGGGAACCAACAGGGTGTCCCTTTGGCTCATCCATCTTTACTTAGTGTTGCATCAAAACTTTTTGCTTTAATCCCATTAACACCTGTCTTATTTTTCCCATTTATTAATAACCATCTGTAGATTTCTTTATTTTGGGGGAACAAGTACCTTAAAAATTTTCATCTTGTTGGGAAGAAGTCTGTAGACTTCCATTTCCGTTTTTTTTTTTTAACTTTCATCTTAACATTAATTATTCTAATGCTTTTATTAGCATCTATAAGACCCATTG